TTTGACACTGGACTTGCCTTTAGGTTTACTTGGCAAGTGTGTGCAATCGGTATTGCGCTTTTGTGTGCTCTTTCAAGTGTGCCCAATACTGTTGAGTTGTATGGGTTTCTGGACCATCATCATGAAAAGTTTGGCCAAGCAAATCCTACTTTCGACGAGGTTGGTCAAAAGATTTAGGCTCAGATCTGTGGACTCTGGCATTCGGCCAAACATGGGCTGGCTGCTGGCAATGACTGATGAAGCTTTCAACACCAGTCTGGAGGCCATGTCATCAAACAAACATTATTGTGGGCTATGTGTCTGGCTGCGACCTGTAGCCTGCAGCGACTGATGCATTCGCTCTGTATAGTTAAACGACCTGAGCCTCTTTTTGGCAAGGTGGATTTGCACTGCGTGCCAGAGCGAAATGAACCGCCCGTGGTGCACTTCTTTGTTCGCTGGCGCCGGCGGCCGTTTTTCCTCCAGTAGCACTGTTCATCGGAAATCGTCGGACAGAGTTGATTTCAGTTCTTATGTTGCCCGGAGAGGGTGGGCGGCCGCAGCTCCATCCTCCCCCGAATGGAGCGCAGGACCGTGCAGGGCCGTTGTATCTGTATCCTTAGCAATTTACAGGCTTGGTACAGGTAGGATGGCTTCACAATACCCAGGGCATATCGCCTGATGGCCTACTTTTGTTCAACATGTCTCCCTGTGGATCAAGAATTGTATAGGAAGGGGAGGGGGGGGAGGGATTGTTCAAGAAGGCTACCGTCTTCACCCGAATAGAATGCGCAGTCGTTATTGCTGCATCTAGACTGACAATTGCACCAAATACAGCGACGACAGTGACTGGGCATTCTGTTCCGGTGAGGACGGTAGGATGGCCCCTGTGCTGAAATTTGAATGATACAGAGAAGATTAACATGGCCGCTGCACCTCGGCACGATGATGATATCATAGTAGGAGAAACAAGATGCCCTGCATGTCGGCACGATGATGATACGGTAGTGGGAGAAACAAGGTGGTGGTTAGAAGGGGATGGCGGTGCGGGAAGGCAGCTTGCACATTGTTGCTAATTAGCACAAGACTTTGTTGTGAACTAGCGTCTTCACCCGAATAGAACGCCCCGGCTATTATTGCTGTATTTGGACTGAAAGTTGCACCAAATACAGCTATAATGACTGGGCGTTCTATTCGGGTGAAGACGGTAGCATCCCGTGCTGCGCTGCACATTCAAGTAGGCAAATGAGAGAATCTGGTGCTCGTGCAACCCAGAATCGGCATGTGGGTATCGTGCAAGACCACATTCCGGTTCTCATTATTCCATCAGTTGACGGGCACAAATATCAGAGCTTGTACATGGCCAAACAAACCAAGCTTTTAACGGACTACTGAACCTCTACTCTTTCACTTTCCTCGCTTCTCTGCAAATCTCTCACTCTCCTCAGTTCCTTGCACACACACACACACACACACACACACACACACACACACACACACACACACACACACACACACACACAGAGAGAGAGAGAGAGAGAGAGAGAGAGAGAGAGAGAGAGAGAGAGAGGGGGGGGGGGGGGGGGGGGGGGGGGGGGGGGGGGGGGGGGGGGGGGGGGGGGAATCAGCCTTCGGGTGGAGTGTCTGTCATGCACAATAGGTTGGTCCTCATAGACAAGCAGTCTTTCCTGCATCCATGAGGCTAGACTCTTCACACCATGTAGGGTCTATATGGCTGAAAAGCCCATGTACACTGCTTTTAAGTTTAAACAAACAAAGATCATCCAGATGGCAGCCGCACTGGAGGTGCCAATGTGTTATATCAGATTTCCTCCAACTGATTGGCACAGTGTAACTTCATTTTCACCTCAACACCATTCTGGGGTACAAAATTTAGGGGCTTGGTTGATGGCACTCGGCCCTCAGCTGCGACACCGGTCAGTTTTAGATGAGGCATCAAGATATGTAGGGTAAACTGTTGACGCCACAACTGTCCAAGGGATATCATGGGACCGGCACCTCTTCCATTTTCATGGGCCCTAGATCACAGAGAACTTTTGTGGAGAAGGAAAGCCTGTGTCTACAACATGACTGCGCTTGTCGAAGGGGGGGTCCCGCTGCATCCTGCGATCGGGGGTTAAATCCTACTTTGTCTTTCGTCTCTTCTCCAATGCTCTACCCTGATGTGTTATGTCCAGGTTCTTGTAAGGAAAACATTCTCCGCACCCGGGGGTCAGATTGGCAACCCAAGCGATGGAAATTGCCTCAGCTGTAAATACGGAGGCCTGTACGGCTCACATCTCTGTGTCCATCGATGACTCTGGATGTGTGATGTGGACTGGCCTCTGTAGCCCACACTGTCGGTACCCGCCGCTGAGCCAACACTTTCGGTACCGGCCTCTGTAGCCACCGCTCTTGGTACCAGCCTCTGTAGCCAACACTCTTGGTACTGGGCTCTGTAGCCAACACTCTTGGTTTGGCGACTTGCCGATGTCTGACAAGGTTGCTGTCGAGAGTGGCTGCGTACATACACAGCAATATTCGCCTGCAATCTAAGTACCTGAGGACAAAGAAAGTGCTGGGACTTATGTACTGGCATAGTTTGGTACACGGCGGAATGGTTGAAATACAGACCTGAGTTTGATCTCCACTAGAATCAGATAAGTTTGGTACACGGCGGAACTGTTGAAATACAGACCTGAGTTTGAACTCCACTAGAATCAGATAAGTGAAATACTGGAATTCTGAATTGCTATAAGGATCTTTCGAACGGCAACCGGCGAGGGTTTGAGCTCCTTGCGTCCATCCAGGAGTGTGCAACAGCTGAGCCTTTTGTCCATCCTGGAGTGTGCAATGACTGAGCCTCGGCATGCATTAGTGAAGTTTGATGAACTAGCCTGTCTTCCCATGATCTCGCCGAAGCCCAGAAACGTGGTGGTGGAA